AAAACCTGAAAAACGAGTTTTTAACACATCGTTAATATTAACATAAAAAGGGTTGCCAACAGACTGAAATAAAAAAAATCCCTAATTTCGATGCTTCTAAGAAGCTCTTAGAGCCCTGAAAACTATACATCTAAGAACTCTAGTAACATCAAAATAGACAATAGTTATTTGTTTTGAAAAGCGACTTTTTCATGCGAGGGTTTAAGTTGCTCACGAGGCCGTAAGGCCGAAAGTGAATTAACACGAGCTTGAAGAAAGATTTTCTCACAAGTTTTTTCTACGATCCTATGTTTCCTATGTTTTATTATTTTCAAATACAAAACAGAAAGAGTAAATCAATACAAAAAAAAATCATAAATTTTTTAAATTTTAGACCAATGTTTACTCCACCAAAACCAGGACCACCTCTATAGACAATTCAAATTCCTCAATGTAACACCAGACTCATATCATTTGATAAATACTCAATCATCAAATCCAACTTAAAGTCTATTATAGAAGCCAGTATAAATTTTGAGCACATATATACAGATGCATCAAAATCCAATGAGGGAGTCGGTTCAGCATTTTTACACACAAATTTATGTAAACCATATATCACGTAGGAAGAGCATCTTTAAATACATCGGTGGAAAATATAACAAACCATCTCTCCAAAAAATTTAACCAAAATGATTTTTTGATAGAGAAATATCCTTCCAGAGAGGGAGCAAAAAGTGTCTCTTTTAGGGTGGAAAGCGAGTTTTCCCTTTTGGAAGAGATGTATAAACCTAAGAATTGGCCTGCTGGAATTACTGTACGTAAATACCGGTTTTTTCCAGAACAAAAAAATGGGGAATTTGGCTAAGCAAAGATTTAATAGATAAAATAAACATAGAAAACTACAATATTGCAAGATGTTTTACCAGAAAACTTAACAAGCATGGGGGGACTTTAATCTTGACAACGAAGAAATTGGAATTTAAGGAAATGCCGCCGAACTAACCGAAATGTCTATAGAAAAGCATATTGAGATATCAGCTATACATATCCCAAAATTTCACACAGTTATACTATGTATAAAGACCTCCTCAAGGTGACGCAAATATGTTTTTTTCACAAATGGAAGAAATATTGTCCAAAATTCAAAAAAATACCTATCATAAAATAGTCTTAACAGGTGATTTTAATATTGATATTTTACAAGATACAAGGAATAAACAAAACTTACTAGAATTACTGCAAAACTTTAATTTAAAACCTATATTTACGGAACCCTCTAGAATTACAAATTTATCATCCACCTGTATAGATAATATATTTGTAAATCTTTCAAATGAATAATTCACGAGTAAAACAAGAAATCTTCATATAGCCGATCATCTAGCCCAGGAAATAATTATACAAAATACCGTAAAAACTAAACCTGAGTATAAGTATGTCCATACAATAAATGACACCACAATTAAAAAATTAAAAAACAGTCTAAATAATACAAATTGGTGCGAAATTGAAAACGAAAGTGCAGAAATCTATTTTAGTCGTTTTCATAATACATTGATAAATGCCTTCAACATAAATTGTCCACAAAAAATGGTTAAAATAAATGGATTTAAGAAAACACCAATATGGATAAATGAGGAGACTTTAAAAATAAAAAAACAAATTAGATGCTGCCGAAACTATAATGAGAATAAGAAAAGATAAAGAATCTTAAATGCTGTATAAACTCTTAAAAAATGATTATAATAAATCAATTCAACAAACATATAAAAAAGTTTGCGAAAATAAAATAACACCTTCAGAAAACAAAAGCAAAGCAATATGGAGTATTATAAATGCAAATATCAAAAGTACTAGAAATAAAGAAACAAGTAGAATTATAACTGCAAATGAATTTAATATATTTTTTGTTAGCATAGGAAATGGCTTGGCAACGAAAACGGATGTCCAAAAATCACAAGTGCTCTTAAAAAAAGGAAATTTTGATACTAAAGGAAATATGTTTTTGTTTGAAACTTATCAGAAATCTGAAACCCAAGGAGTCCAAAGATATCTATGGGCTAAATTCAATAGTTCTTAAGGCAATTATAAATGAAATCATTTTTCCATTATGCGATGTAATAAATTCTTGTTTCTATCAAGGAATTTTTCCAAACGAATTAAAAGTAGCTAAAATAATACCAATTTACAAAAAAAAGAACATTGATATATGTAGGAACTATAGACCCATATCCATACTTCCTGTCTTATCAAAGGTATTTGAATCCTTATTAAAAATTAGAATATTAAGATAAATTCAAGCAAAAAATATAATAAATCAACATTTTAAAAAATAAATCTACGATAACAGCAATGATGAGTTTAATGGACATAATAACGGGAGCGTTTGAAGAAAAAGGAGACGTAATACTGTCTTGTTTAGATCTTAGCAAAGCTTTTGATTGCGTCAACCACTTGATTTTACTGCAGAAGCTAGAGTATTATGGACTAAGGGGGCATATGTCAAAAATGATTGCTTCCTACCTGACTCACAGGTATCAGACTGTATTCTGGAATGATCAATTTTGGGACCTCTTTTGTTTATTTTATTTACAAATGATATGGCTTTAAATACTGAATCTTTTTCGTGCTGCGTATATGCTGATGACACAACATTAATTAATAAAGGGTATTCAAGAGAGTTGCTCTTAGAAAGATCCGAAGTAAATTTATATCAGGCCGAAAATTGGTATAGCAGTAATGGTTTAAGACTAAATACAGAAAAGACCCAGAATATCTTCCTCTCCAAAAGGCTTATGTCCAATCCTAAAACCATACGGCTTTTAGGATTTACCCTGGACAGTTCCTTATCATGGATTCAGCACATAAATAGCATAACAAGTAGGTTGTCTAGTTCCGTGTACTGCATACGAAGAATCAGGGAAATAATGGATGACGTATTTCTTCCTGTTTCACTGCATAGCGACATACGGTATTTTAATATGGGGTGCATCACCAAATGTAAAAAGAATCCTTTTGCAACAAAAAAGAGCAATAAGAGCAATGGCAAAAATAAGCCAAACTACCAGCTGCAGATCTTATTTAAAAAAATATAAAATACTTACAACACCAGCACAATTGTCTGTGTCAGATGCATAAAAGTGAAAAAAGCTTATTAAGACATCAATATGTTCACAATTACAACACAAGACACAAGGAAAATATCATTCTGCCACAACATCGTCTACAATCTAGTCAGTTGTCCTACATATATATAGATCAAAAAATGTATAATCAACTACCTGCTAAATATAAAGCAAAGGATGTCAAAGAATTTAAGAACATGATGAAGACAATCTTAACAGAAAATGTATTTTACTCCATTCAGGAAATATTTAGTTTTACCTTTCACTAGTTCTCGTATAAACCTTATATTTTGTAATGTATTGTATATTGTATTATATGTTCTATATTGTTTATTATACTTATTTATTTAAATTCAAACTTAAAGCTATATCTGTAATTTTTTTATTTTTTTTGCCTTGTAAATTTTTGACTTACCTTGTAAATTTTTGAAGGTTAATAAATATTATTATTATTATTATCCTCCTCATACAAGTAGTATTTATACTGCAAAACTTTACGCTATATGGAAAGCCTTGGAGTATATCAGAGTTAAAAATATACAGAGATCCTTAGTTTTTACTGACTCATTAAGCTCTATATATGACATTAAACAAATATACCCGAAACAAAGCATCCTACAGTAAATTTAGGAAATACCTACACCAACAAATTAAAAGCTAATAAATTCATTAAAAGAGTAAAAACCGTTTTGTAATAGAAAATCTTTTACAGCATATTTATATTTTGTAATTGATGGGATGTCCTTAATTTCATTTGGTAATTTATTTGCAACTTGAACAGATCTGTACAAAACGCTTGATACAATTCGGAATAATGTGAGGGGACCCTTAGCAACGTACCTCCCCTGGTATGCATACCATTAAAAACATCATTATTTCTGACGAATAAGTTTAAATTCTGTCTCACAAACATTAAAAGATGATAAATATATATATATATATATATATATATATATATATATATATATATATACAGTGTGACCCATTTGTTTGCGACCCACCCCTGTAACATGGTACTATTACTATAAGTTTAATTTAATTTCAATGTTTTTTCATGGATAACTTGACTAAATAAATTTTAGTAGTTATTATTGTGCATTTTTTTTCTTAAAATTTTTCAATAAAATTTAGTATAGGGTCGTTTTGAGGGGTGGTGAATCCAGTGCCGTGCTTAGATTTTGTTTAAAAAAATCGCTAATATGAATTCATAAAAATTTACTTTTAAAAACTGACATAGTAGGCCTTGTATTTTGTAAAAATATGGCATTTTTACTTCAAAAATACAGTTTACCAAGATCTACAGTTTAAAACAAATCCGGTTAAAATCGCACAATAAATAAAAATTTTACAGGGGTGAGTCGCAAACAAATGGGTCACACTGTATATATATTATATATTAGACATAAATATACAAATACAAAACAAATTTTGAAACGAATGTCAAACGATGCTGTCAATTTCTTTTCACACAGACCAGTCACTTTTCAAACAGAAATGTCACTTTACATTCGTGTTTTGCCTTGCCAATGAAAAGATTCATTTTCTAAGCAGCAGTATAATTAGTAGTAAAGTGATAAGTTAGTTTCATACATTCTTACTGTTTTTATTGTAAATAATTAAATGGTTTAGTTTGTTCATAGTTCATAGTGTTCATCATATGGCAACCGTGTATGTATATGTACTTAGTGACAAAAGTGCTTATAATTCGATGTTTTTTTGGTGATTTCATTTATCAAAATATCTCATTAAAACTATACTTTTCTTACAACAAGCATTAGTTATTTAATAAAACGCATTGTTCTACCCCATAAAACCATCATCTTTTGAAGGTAATAATTGCATCGGTCTGTTTGCGACGTTGCTACTGTAAGGTTTTTGTACCGCAACGAAAAAATGTCAACTTGCGAGTCTTGTTACAACACTGCCGATGAACAGAAGATCGTCTCATGCTATGTATGCAAAAAAATATATTTATACAAATTCGTCGGTTTTACAGTTGCTGAATTTAACATGATAAAAAATAACAACAAAAATCTCAATTGGACTTGTACATCATGTTCAAATCAAACTAATAGTATTCTGGAACTAAAATCCCTTTTAATTTCTTTACAAAAAGAAATTGAAAGCCCAAAAAATAATATATCAACAAATACCACTTCGCAAAATACTACATTTACTCTAGGCGAAGTCATTAGCGAAATTGAAAATAGGAACTCTCGAAAGGGTAATATTATTATATTTGGTGTTAAAGAAGATGACAGATAATCTGTTAATAAACGCCACGAAGAGGACAACTGCAATGTAAAAAACGTTTTAAACTACCTAGTGCCCAACAATACGACTGAAGTACGTCAGATGTTGAGACTTGGCAAATTGGACCCTAATAAAACCTCCTATAGACCCATTAAAATTTGTTTTTGTTCAAATCATACACCACATATTTTAATTCGTAATGCCAAGAAGTTAAAAGAAAGTAACCATTTTAAGACCCCTAGACAACAAGATCGTTACAAAATGGCGAATCTAATTTAAAGTTAAAATACATTAATGGAACTCCTCAAATAGTGAGTTTAAACTAGCATTGTCCAATAGAACATCTGCTTACTGTATGTTTCCAAAATGTTAGAGGTCTCAACACAAAAACTGATTTGGTTTTTTCTACTGTTTCTGACTTGGTTATCTAGTGATGTGTTAGCTAATGAGTTATTTACTGATACTTATTTGGTTTATAGAAGTGATAGAAATCTAAGTCAAACTCAGAAATCCAAAGAGAGATGAGTGTTATTTACATTTAAAGATAAATATAACGTTGCTAATCTAAACTGTGATAATCTAAATAATCTCGTCCCCCTTATTGATATTCTGGGTTGCAAAGTGAAATCTAAGATTTTAAGTTTACAATGGTATAATATATATATATATATATATATACATATAAACGGTCATTGTGCAGCCCATTCTATATACAAGCTATACTCTGTGTAGCCCGAAATGACTTTGTGTGGCCCACTCCCGGGCTGAACAACGTTTGACGTTATTTCAACGCTAATCGATTAATCACGGTGTTGGGAACCCCAGGTTAAATTTTTGGCAGGGCTTAACAACGACCGGTTTAGCCATAGTTACATACAGAATAGTTCATTGAATTTAACTGTAGGTGGCGCGCTGTAGTAAGTGTATCTAGAATAGGAATCCTAGATATCTTACGGTTCCTGTGTAGCCCTAAATCCGGCAACACTGCAAACACAATTTTTTCGTAGGAAGATATTATTTAGTTTTAACGCTGCCGCGCGCTGTAAGTTCGATACCGCGACTTAGTCAGAGATTTATTCGAATACTTTTAATTGTTTTTATTACTTAATATATTATAGAATGTGCACAATGAGCTTTATTTTTTATTAAAAATTCTTTTTAAAAATATAAAAGGCAAAAAACATTAATTGTAAAAATTATTCAAAAGCTTTTACTGGTGGAACATACATACTTTATTAAGTTGTAATAAGCGGTTTAAATTTAATCACTTAATCAGACTTTATAACTTTTTTAGTTGAATGTTTTAAAAATAGAAATATTAAAATATTTGACTAAAATTGGGCATATTTTTAATTAGAAATAATCCATAAGGTACACACTCTAATAATCCAAAATTTGAAGATAACTTTTTTTTATTATGTTGTAATAAGTGGATCAAATTTCAACACAAAGACTTTATATGTTTTTTTAGGAATTTAAAAAATTAGCTAAACATGTCTAATTTGAAATATCTTTCGGAAAACATTATTTTATTGTGTTTTATTTAATATATTAGGCCTGTTAGAAGCAAATTAATTTGTAAAATAAAAATAAATAAAATTAATAAAATAAAATAAGATTTCATCGTATTTTATTATTTTAATGTGCTTGTTTTAAAAATAGCCAAAACATTGCGATTAGTCCTCAATCGGGTAAATTTTTAATCAAAAACATCTCAGAAGGGATATACTAAAAATTCCAAATTTTGCGATTTGTCCAAAATCGGGCTTTTTTAATCTGAAATATCTCAAAAGGTACTAACTTAAAATCTAACATTTTCAGAAAACATTTTTTTCATTTTGTTGTAATAAGTAATCAGTAGCACTTTATTAGTTTTTTCTATTTTCTTATATACAAAATAATAATAAAATATAATAATAACATAACTATAGTTAATAATACTATATTATAATAAAAGCTTTTTGTTTAAAGCCAGTATTATTATTTTTTGAAAAACGCAGATTTTTGACAAAATTAATTCAAAATAATAAAAATTATTCCATCCTATCTTTTAAGTTTAAAACCAAATTTTTTATATAAAGTTTAATTAAATCATATCAATTTACGATTTTTAACTTTTATATTCCCACTTTAATGGGTGTGAAATTTCACGAGGGAATTTTAAAAACAAAACAGCATAACATAATTAATTTGTGCTGCATAAATCTACTAAATAATTTTGTTTTACTCAATGTAGCCAATTATAAGTTAAGGGTCCCTAGAATTTGCCAACTAAATACCCAAATTCCGAATAAAAAACATTTAATTGCACTAATTAAATAAATTAAATCTGACATCTCTCAAATGGTTAACCTAAGTTTTTATCAATTTTAAATGTTATTACACAGTAAAAAATATTTCGGTGTAAAGTTACCAAATGGAGTGGTAAAATCATTTGGTGTTAATTTATACACTAAAATTGGTCAAAAATATTAAGTGTTTATTTTAAATTGTGGTAAAATTCATTCGTGTTAATTTAAATTTATTTTACACAGCACCGTGTCAATCTAGTGTTAATTTAAAGATAAACTCGACGCAGTGTACATTTGACACTATTATTTGTTGACAGCTACACACATTGTGGTAAAAAAAGTCACGGAGTCATCACCATTCGTTAACGGCAAGGAAGAGATCAGTATTCCGAGTGCAGTTGATGGTAGTGTACCTATTTTAAGACCATGGTTTTTAAATTAAAATTCAGTGGTCGGGTAAAGTGGTGCAATGTGACAGTGGATGCAACTTATGTTTGTGATATAACATGTTTTTTTACCTGTCATAAGTGAAATATGAAATTTAGTAAAATTTTTAAGTTTTTTGAGCTAGTGAAAAATCATATTTAACTTATATACCTATATAAGCTAAATATGGTTTTGCACAAACTGGAAAAAACTTAAAATATTAAGTACTACTTTTTATTCAAATAAAAAAAATTATTAACACTTCTTGGGTATTAGAATACACCTAAGTATTGTTAATCATTTTTTTTTAATTTTATGCCAAAGCCTATTTGTATTCATATCTAATAGTTGTAAGTAATATAAAATATACTTTATTTTACATTACATGCTGTGTTTAATATTAAAACACCCACCATTTTTAAAACCTACAAGTAACACCAAAATGTGTAGTAAATTACACCAAATTGAGCAGTTTCTACTCTTGAATGGAGTTATTTTACCAATATTGCGTGTTGCTTTTACCCCTAAGAGTGTATTATATTTGATGATTTTTACACTGTTACGAGTTTTTTGTACGAATAGTACGTGTAGATTTTTAACCAATTAAAAAGGGTAAAATTTACCAAATTGTATGTGGTTAGATATACCATTTCTAGTGTGGACCTATATAGACCACTTTTGGTGTTGTTTTTTACCAGAAATTTTTTACTGTGTATAGTCGCCTTCTTCCAATTTAAACCCCGATTGGTTCAAATCACAGTGAATATTGAAATCGGCCAATAACTGATGCCGAACAACGTGAATAATGAGTTTATTATTTACGTTGTTAGGCAGGAAATTTAAAATGTTTAACAATATTCACGGAAAAAACCCGAAATTACTGTACATTTATTTAGTTACCTACTCTGCAGGAATAATGACAAATTTTAATTGTATTAATTATTAAAAGTAGTTTTTTTATAATATCCTAATTTTTGATAAATTTTGTAAAATTTATTTGATATTTGGTTATATTTGTAATGTGACAAGCCGGAAGTGGCATTTTGTTTAAAATATTTTAGAAAAATAGGCCTAATTGGATAATAAACGCTTTACAAATTTCAAATCGATATCTTTTGCCGTTCCTCAGAAACTCTCAATGGACCACGAACGTGAAACACGCATTACCGTATTTCGTAAATGTGCAACACCCTGTATATAATTAAAATAATTTTAAAATAAATAAATAATCTTAATGGTTGTCCATTTATTCAGTGGATACATTTTTCATAAAAATATACTGTCCAGCTGTTATCGAATCTGTTATATTATGTGCCGAATACATTTTATTGGATCGCACTAAAAAAAAATGACGTGATCTGAAAAAACGCCGAGACACGGGTATCATATTAATAAATTAGGGGGTTAATATCAAACACAGCAAAGTTCAATATGAGTCCAGTTGAAATGATTAAGTAAAAATATCGTTCCTAATATTTTTTAAGGGAATATTTTAATACGGACTTTGCGGGGTGATACATTAGCCCCCTACAATATTTATATTTATGTTTGAATATAAAAAAAATAAATAAATGTTTTATATTTACTTTATCTATAGTGTTCACAAAAAGAATTTTGCTAAATCACAAAATTTTAAAAATGGTAAATTAACACTGGTCGACAAATTAAAACTTTTTGTTTGACTTTTGACCATAATTTTGTTCAATCAGATTTTGTTTATTGCAATATTGTAAACAGATAATTTTTTTCGAAATTTTAAAAGAAACCTTTAATAATTCTTAAATTATAATTTAAGAATTAATAAAATAATATTAATTTTCCTAATAAACTTAGTAAAAGTCTTTATAATGTTTTTTTTTAAATGTATCGTTTTACAGTAAAATTGCAATTCCAATTCAATGTTATTAAATTCCGTGGCATTCCGTCCTGCTATAAATTACTAAGAATTAATTAATTAATCAAAGTTTTCCTTTTTTTAATCCATTGTTAATTTCAGAAATGTAAATAATAAAATTTAAATCTCTAAAAAGAGCATATGGAAAATATGATTAAATTTAATAACAGTAAATTGGTATTTCAATGTTACTGTGAACGATACATTTAACAAAAAAATAACTTTTTTAAATTGACTTTATTTTTTTTTAAATCATTGGAGAACTTTTTTTTTTGTTTTAAAACGAGATATTATTACCACTGCTTGTAGTATAAAAACATTTCCCATCAAATTAAAAAATCATACTCATCCATGTGCTGT